ACCCAAAACTCGTCAGAACCGTGAATAGGCGTCACAGTGTAGGGGACGTCGGCAGAAACGCCGCACTCACCGTCATTTACGCTTATGTGAACAGTCTGCTGGTCATTAGCGAATACAAGGGTACCGCCAGATGTAGCGGATGCTCTGCAAGCGTAGGTGCCCACAGGGTGGGAAGCGCGAACGCTTACGATAAGGCTCAAGCAAGAGATGATAGAAGAAAGGTATCTCATATACGGAGGTTGTAACAAGTTACTACCGATGAGGGATAACTCGAAAAAGGTAGCGATTCGAAACCTAGACGCCCCTGCGGCCTCATCCGGAGACGTGAGTCACGTCACGTGACGCCTGGCGAGCCGCGCCCACCTTAGGCCAGTCTTGGGTGACCGTCACCCAAGACTGGACGTGTCACCCGGTGACGCGAAGTTCGTGGGTGGAGCCACCATAACTCAACGGGGTCACCATAACAGTTTCTTGTTACTGTATTCGAAGCGATGAAGCTCCTCTCTTTTGTTCCGCTCATAGCCGCATCGACCTCCACAAACGTTTATGACAGCAAGACTATCGTATCGGTCACCTCCGCCGATGCTTTCGTCGACGTTCGGGATATCCCAAAGCGTCTCGAAGATGCCAAGGTCGCGCTCAAGCCTGGAATGGCCGCCTACCTGAAGACGGCAACTATCAAGACTTTGAAGTCCTCGGGCTTGCAGGTGGTTGCTACTTCCGAGGACACAGTGAGCTTCGACGATCTTTGTGCCTACTTGAAGGAGGCGGCCTCCAAACTCTCCGGTCTGGACTGTGAATGCTCTCCTAATTTTGCCACCAAGGAAGAGGACACCAGTGACAATCTCGGCGTGAATGACCCGAATGCTTCGTTGCAAAGGGCATTCAAGCGGATGAACATGCAAGACGTATGGAGACTATCTGCGCCCTACGCGAGGCGAACTGTCGCCGTAGCCGTTATGGACAGCGGCCTCAACTTCAGCGATCCTGAGATCGCTTCTTATCGTGGCGTTTTCCGTAAGAAGAGCGGTGGATCCATCGATGGTGGCTGGAACTTCGTGGACGACTCCTCAAACTTAACATCGACTCGTCAGCATGGTCAGGCGTGTGCCAGAATTATCGCGGCTAGGAAGAACAATAGCAACGATATGGCCGGAATGGCGTCCAACGTACGTTTGGCGTCTTTAAAAACTAAGGGATCTGATGGTACTGGTGGCTGGGCACATATGGCTGAAGCCATGGATATGGCCGTGGATATTGGAGTCGACGTCGTATCAATCTCACTGGGAGGATTCATATCAAAGAGCTTCAGCGACATGGTCCTGGCCAAGGCCTTCAAAGCAGCAACTGACCAGAATATCATTGTTGTCGCCGGCGCTGGTAACAATGGGAAGCGGGCTGACACATACTATCCATGCTCGCTGCCACGCGTGGTCTGTGTGGGTGCTCTCAGGAACCAGGACACTCTTGAAATGGCTGGTTTTAGCAACTACGGTGATAGCGTCGATATCGCTGCCTACGGCACGGATATCTATGTCGGTAACAACGAAATCTCGTCGGGTACGTCCTTTGCCTGTCCTATCGTCTCTGGAGCAGCCGCGATCTTGCTTTCTATGGGCGTTAAGCCAAAGTACGTTGCTGGGATACTCATCCATAACGTTGATCGGTTCAATAGCTCTTCGAGGCCCATGAGGAAGCATGCCGGGGCTCTGAACCCGCTAAAAGCTGTCAATATGGCGATCGATTATCCCATTTTGAGACGCTAAATGCATCGAGCTGCTCACATTTGACTTCATACTCGATAGGGAATTCTATCGCATAGTGGTCACTTATCCCTCTGCCTTTTATCCAACTCTTAAGCCCAGCTCTACTGGCAACTCAAAGAATGTTGCCGATCGCATCTAATCCGAGATATAAACAACGGATCTGTTCGGTATTATCCAACGAGTTTGTTATTGCGTTCTCTAGTTCAACAAGAGGACGAAATACCGGATGATACTATCAC